GTCAATTTTAATAGTTGACTGGAAGGAATAATTTAGCTTGAATCTTCCATAGAAAAAGCAAAATCCTAAGGCTGGGATGTAATATTATTATTATGCAGCTGCGACAGATATAATCTTCCAGACAAGATTTTCAAGTTTGGACCAATGGTGGAATCGGAAAAGATTCAGAGAATATGAGTCATAGAAATAAAAGACAAAGACTCTCCATGTTTAGAACAAAAATCAAAGACATCAGAAGTCCATTTAGATTATCTCTGCCATCTGCTTCCAACAATGGCCTGCCAGATGCTTATAGGAAACCCACAAAAAAGACATGGGAAGCAATGTGTGTGTTTGCATGCAAGAAACTGAAGTTCAGAAATGTACTGTTTCTGAATATGCAAACTCCCACACGATTATTAGGGTTAATAGTCTGATAAATCTAGTCTCCAATTAATTCAACAAATCCATCATATGTTACGGCAACAAAAATTGTTAAATTAATTATATGTAATATTTATATCCTCTGTCCTAAATTAATTAATCAGGTAATCCTAAATTTATATCTCACCCAACCAGCAGCATTTGAAAAATTTGCATCAGATATCACATATATTGGGTTATAATAAAAGTAACAGAATTGCTTATAAAACCAACTGAACTCAGGCCCACTACTTTTTCAGAAATTATTTGATTCAACTTTTTGCAAGTATAGTATAGTAAACAGTATAGTAAATAGGATTGTTTGGAGCAGTACATGACAAGTTTAGTAAAGAAACCTTGTTCTATGCAGCCACACTGATTTCAATTTTTGCAAATTGATTCTAAATGTTGTATAACAGGGGTCCCCAACCTAGTACCGGGCTGTGGCATGCCAGGAACCGGTCCACACAAACAAGGAAAGCCCCATCTGCAGGATACAGGCAGCACACAAAATCATGCCCCCTTCGGTCCGCGAAAAAACCTCTCTCCATGTAACCGGTCCCTGGTGCCCAAAAGGTTGGGGATCTCTGTTGTATAAAACTCACCTCAAACCAATACGATGGATAACAAAGCACTTATTCTCCACTAGCAATAGATGTACCACAGATGAGTCTCAAAAGAGAACAGAATGCAGGTAGTCCTCAACTTACAACCATTCATTTAGCAACTGCTTGAAGTTACAATGGCACTGAAAAAAGCGACTTACAACTTGTACTCACATGATGGTCACATGATCAAAATCTTGTCAACCAGCATGTTTTTTAATGACACTCCCAGAGTCTCGTGATCACCATTTGGTGACCTTCCTAGCCAGCTTCTGTCAAGCAAAGTAAATCGGGAAGGCTGGATTTGCTTAACAACCATGTGATGTGATTCACGTAATAACTGCAGTGGTTTGCTTAACAACAATGGCAAAAAAGGTCATAAAATCGTGTGTGACTCACTTAACAACTGCCTTGTTCAGCAATGGAAATTCTGGTCCCAATTGTGGTTGCAAGTCGAGGACTAAAGTTGCTGAGACAGTAAATTATACATGTAATGACATAATATAAATAAGCATTAAAATATCCTTTTATTTCTCCCAAGCTGGACTCCAGGCCCTTTTGATACTATGTTTGGTGTATCACACACACACACACACACAACCAGATTGAGAACCCGCAATCTAAGGTAGAGATCCCCAACCAGGGACCGGTTCCGTGGAGAGAGGTTTTTCTACCTGGACCAGAGAGTGCATGGTTTTGTGTGCTGCCTGCAGCCCATGAATGGGGCTTTGCTTATTTGTGTGGATCGGTTGCTGGCATGCCGCGGCCCAGTACCAGTCCACGGACAGGGCAGGGGTTGGGGACCCCTGATCTAAGGGATATTAGTTCAAGGGGAAAAATGAGTTTAGACTTTTAAGGACAGTAACAAAAGGCTTAAGATACATACCAGAAACTGACAGATTCTTCAATTACCTGCATTATATAAAAAATAGAGGTGGCAGTTGCCTTACTCTATAGATTCCTTTATTCATAAACAAATGTCACCATTATAAATGTTACATAAGTTTAGCAACAAAAAAAATCACTCACACAGAAGAGGCCAGCACTGCCCATCCAATTATCTGTTCTTACTTGAATGCCAAAGGGTTATGATTTTCTATTACGTTCTTCACCTCTATGTTTACTGTAGCCTCAACAATTGATTCTTTCTCCTACCTCTTTTTTCTTTTCTCATGTTCCCAATTTGATAGTACTCTGAAGGAGGGACAAGCAAAACTCCCCATTTCAAATTCTCTTGGCAGCGGCTGTTTTGATCTGACTACTGGCCTTGATTTGTTTCATATTTCAGCCAAAGTTTAAAACAGCTTGGTAATTCTAAGCAGATGAGCCTATGAGTCTAACCCTATAATTACACCTTCTCTCCTTACTTAGCCTCTAACTTCAAATCTTCTGTTCTGACTTCTAGACTCCCAGACCAGAGAATTTTAAAGTACACCTTGGCGTCCATGCAGGTCTGTTTCAACCAGACATATTTATATAGTCTGTATATGTTGTGCTGAGTTATTGGAAGAGAATAAGTACTTTTTTTAAAAAGCAATCCTTTTATCTATGAAATGACAAGTTACCTAGAAGGTACAGATTTTTTAATCATGATGGTGTGGCATTTCTGCATCTGACAGTCCCAAACAGATGGGAAGGTAACATCTATGTGTTTAAAACACCTGTATAAAAATACACACGTGTGTTCAAATGCTGATGTTAAACTAATTTCTATTAATTTAACAGATACTGGACAGCTATTCAGATACTCGTTTATCCAATAAATAAGCATTTCTATCAAATAACATTTAGGGTAAAGTGGAAAACATAATGTTACTGGACTAGAATTCCAATCAGTCATTTATCCTACCTGAAAATAGACTCCATAAGTGGAGAACCCAGAGGTTCCTCAGCTATAACTTAAAATATAACAAACTTTTATGGACATTTTAAATTGGAGATCACCAAAGCAAAAATGTTATAAAAGAACAAGCCTTGCTGCAGAATATTAGCAATGTCTTAACAATTTTTAGTCTATAGCTCTTTTTAATAAGCTTCTACATACACATAAGCTCCTATATAAACTTAAAAGCCCTCTTGTAGATTAATAACTAAAGAATATTCCCCTATGGATGTGTAGTGATCTGGAATTGAATGCAACAAATAAATGGGCTTTTTGCACAGTTGAATTTCCCCTTACATTCCTCTCACTGATTCAAACTCTCTGAAATTTGCTTTAGTGCAAAAGGGAAGCAACACAAAAAAAATTGTTCTGTGGGCAGATATCGGTCCAGTAATAGATGAAAAAAACTAGAGACAATCAAGCTGCAGTTGTAATCAAATTATTCAGAATGGGGAAATACAACACAGATTATGAAGGATTCCTGAACACTGAAGACATTCTCCTCATATTGAAGACATAGACAATAAAATCACAAACAGAATATTAAATGTGAAAATCATCTGTCAAATAATAATATAGTAATGATGACATATGAAGCAGCTATGATTATTGGAAGACACTGGAATTTTATCAGGGGAATATGAATACCAGATTTTGCAGCAACAGTAAAAAACCTTTTAAAAGACTGAAAATAAGATAACTATATCATAACTCTATTATAGACATGTACGGTATTACATCATCTGCAATTTTAATTACAGTTCTAGATAGCTATCGGATCTCTAAAATGACATTAGAGCAATGGAAAGGGCGCAAAAATGATGCAGTTATTATCTTCCATTTGAGAAAAGACTAAAATAATGGACTTGACAGTCTAGAAAATAAGAAAAGTGATCATGATAGAGGTACATTACATCACTAATAGTGTGGGATAACATTGCAATACACATTAATAAACATTAAAGTCAAGGCAGGCCAAGAAATGTATTTTCTTACATAGCATGTACTTTTCTAGAATCCATTACTACAGTATGAGATTATGCCTCTGTTTTAAGATGAATTTAAAAGATTTGGCAATGACTAAGTAGAAAGTATATGTTTAAACACAGTGTTCGGTACTCTTGGATACCAATTTTGGGGTCAAAACTACAAAAGACCAGTATGGGTCCTTACTTGTTTGTGGAGTGCTGAGCTATGCATTGCTGGGAACAGAATGTAAATTCTACAAATGCTTGGGGTGATCCTGTTGTTACTTTTATGTACATAACTTTTAGACCACCCCCACCCCCCAATTAGAATACATCTTGGCATTTCATCATTAAATGGAAAAGAATTGTGACTGCAATGTACCATCATTTTATTAGTGAACAATGCATCTGAAGCAAAAACTGGTTTGGATCAATGGCCTAAGACCCTTTTTTCTAGGTCTTCTTGGATGTAGAAGTCAACTTGGCCTCTCTATTAAGCCCATGGTGATATTAAGGTAGGCATTTAAGAAAATAAAAGTGGGAAGTTCTTTTATGAAACTTCTAAACAGGCAAAAATGGGACTATATTAATATGGATAATAAAGCAAAATCTCACATTTCTCTCTACCTAAATATTGTGTTAGATCTTTCAGGATTTTATATATCAAATATGTAACTGATAACAAACATGGATGCATCTATACAGCAATTCCTGCTTTTGGAGCTGACATTTTTAATAAAAAAAAAATCAGCCTCCCAAACGTTGCATATTTAAATTGTTCACCAATATGCCTCTTTCAGTTTTTTCCAGGGAAATAAGAGACCTGGCTGTCATGAGAATACTGCCAATAAATTCTAGGCTAACGTCTCTAACCATTTGTACAGCAAAAAACGAAAACATTTAAAATACTCTTTTCCACTACAACACCAAAGGGTTAAAATGACAGAAGCCAACCCATCGTTAAAGGGAAAATTATTTGTTATCCATAAGAACAGCGTTAGTAACACATAGGAGTTTGAAGTTGAAGTAGCCTTTCTAGCCGTACCCTAAATCTGGCTAGAAAATGCAAGAATTACTCTCGTTACAAGAATAACGTAAAAAGATTATTACAAATGCACTTCTGTTTCTTTCTGGAGTACTCACCATGCAAGAGCAGGACTAGGAACAGGTACCCAACCAAGATGCAACAGGGACAGGACATTTCCAGCTTTTCAACAGCTTCTCTATTCCGAACTTTTTTTTTTTTTTTTTGCGCCCTTAAAAAATAAAATAAAAAAAAAAATCTTCTCTCTCCTCTTTTGCTTTAATCCCTTTCTTCCGCACCGCTGAAGTTCCTCCAAATCCACCGAGTCCTCTCACGCACACTAAGCTGGAAACACGCGCTAATAGCAAGAGTCGTCGTAAAAAGGCAAAACCCAGCGCAAGAGCGAGCGAAGGTTCTGCGCAAAAAGGATGAAGTCCAGATCCGCGCGCAACCCACCTGGCGGGATCCAACCTCCCCCCCAAGCCAGCCCTCGCCACCTCTCCCTCCCAACTCGGGGCGAACTCCCAACTGCAGAAAGCAGCGCGAGGCTCCGGCGTCTTCAGGCAGCTGCCGCCCTGAGCTTCAGTCTTCCAGCTCTCCCACCCACTCGCCGACCAAAACTTTTCAAGGGAGGCGCTCCGCCTCGTGCCGGCCGAGGCGGCGAGCTTCGGGCGCGCGCCAAAGCTCCCAAGGCTTTCCCAGTCCTTGGCCTTCCGAAGCCGCCGCCGCTGCCTGCTTAGGCTCAGATCCCGCCTCGGGCGCCTACCGCCGCCTTTTTTTCCCAGGCGGTTTTCCCTCCGCGTCTCCTCCTGCGGCTTTTATCCGAAGCGCTGCAGCGGCGGCGGCGGCGACACCAACAACTACTCCCCTTCATATTTCCCTTCCCAGCCGCAACCCCAGAAGGAGGGGTCTGGGTGGCCCGGGGCGGGGCCGGGCGGGGCGAACTTGCTTGCCGCCTGAAACCGGACACCGTTGACTTGAAAGGAGACTACAAAGAGCGGAGAGGCTTCGAAGGGAGGATCCGGCAGTTCCTGCCCAGGCTGCGTTCCCGCTTCAAGCCCTCCTTTGATCATGGGTACCAAACAAGTCGGGGCCTAACAGCGGATGACGTTAGAGCCAGATTTTGAAAAGGAGGGGTTCCCCCCCCTCCACCAGAGAGGTAGTCCTTTTGCTGCAAAAGAAGAACAGCGGGGGGAGATGTGGCATCTTTAAGCTAATAAATTTTACGATACTCCTGGAAAAAAAAGACAGCCCTGTGTCTTGCTTCATGCACACCTACTGAGAGTAAAACTAAATCGCGGTCTCTGTTCCTTTTCCCTGCCCGTTCAGGAGAGAGAGGAAGGGTCTCGGGAAACTCCAGGTCTTCTCTGTCCTCTCTGCCCTGGGAATTGTGTCACGTATAGAGAACCTAGAAAAGTGTGCAAGCAGCGGTGGGGTCCATTGTTCCCTAATTTGGGCACTATGTCTGCAGGGGGCATGGACCTACCGAGTTTCTGGCCGGCGAAGCAATCTTCCATCAGCCCAGCCTCTGACTGAGAAGGAATGAAAGCAATTTTTTTCTTGTTTACCGTAGAGGTGAATGAGCAGTCTTAGAGGGTTATGCAGCCCAGTCTTGCCTCAAGAGGACCAGGTGTACATTGTTGAATAAACACTTATTTGTGCCATACTGAGAATTGGTTGTGTTAGGTAGAAATGTAATAAATACACTTTTTTTAAAGAGATTCCATAAGGCCCTCGTGTTATAGTGGGAAAACCCACGTTTTGCCCCAAGATAAAGCCTATTTGGAGTTGGGCTTTACGCCTGGTGAATTCATACCCATCTCCATGTGGATTTTTTGGTGAAAGTACAGAAATGATTTGCTACTCTCATCTTAACTGTTTTTTCAACTTCCCAATCCATCAGGCAATAACCAGTTCCAAACTTCCTTAGCAGTTCAAAAGAAACCAAGCTCTAGATAATGGATTATAGTAGTACATGCAATGTGGCAGGTTATTAAAGCTAAATTATGCCACCATGTTTCTTTAGCTACAGATAGGTCACATTAATTGGATGCCCTGTATTTTTAGTTATATATTATTTATCTATCCATCCATCCATTCATTTAACAAATTTATATAGTTGCCCATTTCACAAGAGACAATTCTAGGCAACGCACAACATTATTTTAGCACATGGGTGTCAAACTCGATTGCGTCATGTGATGTATCGTGATGTACCGCAACGTTTTATGCCTTTGTGGAGCTGAGGTGGGCATGCCCTGCGTGTGATGCATCTGGCCTGTGGGCTGCCAGTTTGGCACCCCTATTTTAGCATAGTAGTTGGGTTAATCCAAAATATACTATTTCTCAAACTGTTATTGAACTCTTATCACCTTATAGATCTCCAAATGGGTTTTAAAGAAAATATTCCATGTTATACCATAGAGCTAGTACAAAAAAGCTAAAACACACACTTTTTGGAAGCATATTTTCCCTCCCAATTTTATCACTTATTATTAAGGAGACAACCACATAGGACAAGCAACGTTTTACAGAAACAATCCTTAAGGCTTAAATATTTCAAAAATAATAGAATTTTGTAATCCATGGAATTTCATTAAAATGATTTCATGGAATATGTGGTATAGTATCCTACACTGTATAAGTCTTGGATTAGGAGGAGAGAAAGCCAGTTTCTAGCCCATCCTCAATCATGGATGCTCACTAGATAATTTTGGACTAGTCACACCTGCTCAGCCCAAATTTACACACAGGATAGTTGGTGGGAAAAATAGGAAAAAGATTGCTATTAATCTCTAGACTTAATATCTGTAGGATTCCACTGGTATTTTAGAAACCAGCATTGTCCCATGCTTTACAACAACAACAACAAAATTGCAGTGGCACCTTGGTACTCGACTGTTTCAAAATGCATTTTGATGCAAAAATGTTGTCCCGGTATTAATCGTTTGTTTGGTATTTGACATGCTGTAAAAGGAAGTAGGGGACAGCTGCAGAGGGTAGACAAGAAGTCAGCCATGCTGGGAGAGTCGCTGACATAGAAAAGAGACAGATAGGAAGTCCTTCCCTGCTGAAACAGAGAGTGATTTCACTGAATATAGTAGTGCTCACATCTGAGTTAACATATGGATGATCTAGCTGTAATGCTCCAAGTCTCTTACTAGCCTATAGCCAAATTAAAACAAACTGTTTCATTGTATCTGTATCAAACTGGTGCATGAAACATAAGATTTCTATCCCACAGCAAATAAGAACTGTCCTTTAAATTTTTCCCCAATATTCATTATTATTGTGCCTCTTTGTTTTCAGAAACAGGAGAAAAGTTTGCCTTTCATCCCATCAGGATGGACTTGGATGTCTAATAACATTTTAACTGCCCTACTTTAGTCAGATATAAGTTCTCTATCAGTTTTCCAATATGTTGTCTTTTGTTCAGTTTGTCATAAGTGGATTCTCTGTTGATGGCAATTTAATGCATTCTAGGTAAATTGATTCCTGCTAACTTCAGAGGGTATGGCTACCTAATAAATTATAATATTTTGTAAGATATAATAATATAATAAATTAGTTATTTATTTTTCTAGTTTTGCAAAAAGTCAAGGTGTTAAGTCTGCTAATAGAAATAGAACCACTGGTCTTCCCTTGCATGCTAGTGTGACTTCCTCTATTCCTCCGCCATAAATGTAAAGTTTTAAAACACAAATGTGCAAAATGGTTCCCCAAGGTGATTTAGACATAGCTCCCACAGTTATTTGCTACTAACTGTGCTGCAGGGATGAATTAAAAAGATATTATTCTTAGCTTTAAAACAGAGAGTGATTTCACTGAACATAGTAGTGATCACATCTGAGTTAACATATAGATGATCTAGTTGTAATGCTGCAAGTCTCTTACTAGCCTATGGCCAATTTAAAACAAACTAACTGTTTCATTGTGCAAGAATAGAGAAACATCCTGAATTGTATTAAGTGCTGCCACTTTTCAACTTTTACAGCTTTTAAAGGTTATAAGAAAGTGAAATTGAGAATACAGCTTGCCTTATTGCAATTGCTGCCTTCATTTTTCATTTGAAGAAATAGTACTTAATATTTATTTATAAAAACCCATACATAAAGTACAACTTAAATGAAAAGCAGCAACAAGATAAACCACATTGAATAATTGACAAAATACATAGCAATATATAATCAGGATTGAAATTTAGCTTCCAGATTGACAATTCTAAATTTAAATCCATATTCCCCTTGAGGCAACTGCCATTGAAAAAATGAACAACCTTTCTCGTTTCCTTGGGATATTTAAAAGAATAAACAAAATAAGCTTTTTCAAAATATCTAAAGAAGGAAGAAGATGAGATTTAGTATACTACATTTATCCAAAAGGAATATCTGTAATACCTTTTTATCTGAAGAGACGATTGTGCTGAATTTTAAATAGTTCTCCTCAAAAAGGTAGATATGAGAATATGTGTGTGCTCACACACACACACACACACACACACACACACACACACACACATACCCCTTGTTCAATGTCCAACCTTACCACTGGTTAATTTAAGATTGCCAATTCTAGTTGAACCCAATAATGAGATTCCCCCCTGCCATAAATGTATACAAGTGATACATTTTTATTTATATTATTTTTATTTATAAGCATAGCAATAGAATATAGGGGTCAGTGTAATTATTTTTTATCTATTCATAAATATATGTATGTATTACATAGTTTCCAGAGACCACATTGCAGAAGGATAGATTCATAGCAGAAATGTAAATATTAATTAAATGTATCATTATTGATTAAAATTAACATTATAAAACAAAATTATAAAATTTTATCAGTTGTAAAATTAATTTACATGCAGTAATTATATACTACTGTAGTGAAATATGAAAATACACCTGTGCATTCTTTTTCTCTTTTGGGATAAACTTGTGACAAACAGTAGTAGGAATGAAAAAAAAATAGAAAACAGGCAACAAAACTGAACAAAGATTAAGAAGAAGAAACTCAGCAGGAATAAAAGTTTGTACATTACATATAGAATTTTTAAAAAATCACTTTGCAAATATCCCATGCCAAACAATAATTAATCTTGAAAAAGTGTAGTCACATTTTTCAGCAATAATGTCTGTAGCCATTTAAATCTTCACTTTATTCCCATATTTTCAACAATGCCTTCTACT